TGTGCTCATAAATCATGAGAGTAGGTTTCAGTCTCCATGGTTTTAAAGATGGTTGTCTGAGTCATATATGTGTTCTCCAAAATGCTTAGTGGGTACAGTGAATGTTTAACAAAGAAGGAGAGTTAGTTACTGTGTGTAGACTTCCATCCAGTTAGAAGCCAACAAGTCATCATTGTGTTCTGTTTGTTTTCAGTTTGACTAAAGAATAGACTATGGTATATTTAACCTGATCTATGAGAAGAGGAGTTGCTTTCTGCTAGAAAGTTGTTTGTCGTGAAATTAGCAAAGAATGAAGCACCTTTCCTAAAAACAGAAGAAAACATGGTTTCTGCAGAATAAGCTTTTACTGAATTGCCCCTAAATAAGTTATGTTATCCAGTCTAAGACTGTAAAGTTTAGCTTTACAATAACTCAACATTGGCATGAAAGACACAAATGCCTCTAAAAAGAATTGATGCCAGAATCTTAAATGTACAAATTGAAAAAGAAAAGAAATTTCAGTTAATTTTGACATTGTAAAAAAAATCCAAAATTATTGTGTATCAATTTAGATTTTCAGTCTGAAACAAATTTGTTTTTTAACTTTGAAAATATAAAAATTAAACACTTTAAAAACATTTCTAAAGCTTAAATGCATAACATTTTTTTTAAAAACAAAATTTTGTCATTCATAACAGCAGTAATCTGAATGGACTTAGAGTTCTTGGGTCTTAATTTAATGAACCACTTTTGAAATTAATAATATTAATATATTAATTTGCTGCAGCCTCCTAAGTACCAAGCATTCTGATAAGCGCTTAGATATGCTGCCCTGATTAGTCCGGACTCCCTTTTCCCATAAGAAAACAGGTTCAGTGAGGTTAAATGACATAAGGTCGGACATACAGTAAGAAAACTGGAGCTTAGGTCTTCCTGATGCCGTGTTTTTAAGGCATCCTCCCATTCTTCCCAAATACATGTAGATTTCTCAGCAGAGCAGCATGGTCTTCTTTTCATAGTCAGCTGGAATGAAGCAACTTTTAGTGCATCAGTTTCCTGGCTTGTACAAATAGATGTTCTTTGGTTTATTTGTGCGTGCTTAAATTTTTTTTTCTTTCAGTTTTGTTCTAGATGCCTGGATTATTTAAATCAAGATTTGAAGGCCTGAACATCTTCAGTATCCTATAAAGAGATCAATTTATTTGGTTTCACATGTTTGCATTCATCACTTATCTCACAATTACTAAGCCATCTATGTCCAGAAAGAAGAAATGATTGGCAGATGAACCTGCTCTCTGTCGTGCGCCATTGCTGACAGTAGTTTTTGTGGGGATTTTTTTTTTTTTTTTTTTTTTGTAGTTAGGTCTACCTGACATTTCTTCAATTTTTACCACCACAACAAAAGTTCTCACACTCAGTTTCAGTTATGTAAATTTTGTTGTCTATTGAGTAACAACTTGTAACCTTTCTCTTTTCACTTTTCTCTATTATAAACATTGAGATGAAAACAAGCTTTTGTGCTTTTCAGAGGCTGGATACTCGATCTCGAGGCACACAGCCAAAATTTCCCATGAAGAAGCCAAAATTCTAGGTGAGAGGGGAAGCCTAGGTTTGGGGGATTTTGAGACTCACCAAATGCCCCAAATGCTGACCAAAAAAGCCCCATCTCTGTGATCCCAAAATTCATTTGCCAGGGTGTGCCCAACTCATTTCTCAGACTGCACAAATGCAAGTGGGGATCACTCTTGCCAACTTCCCAAGATCCAGATCTCTTATAGCTTCATCTGTGGAAGCATAAGCAATGGACTGATATGGGCCATTTGTTCCTCTATAATGCTACAATATCACCATGTAGGTCTAACTCACAGCTACATAATCAGAGCCCACAAATAAATCTTTTGTGTTTTCACAGGTTTGAGCCTATCCTGGGAATGAGACCTGTCAAAACTAGGGAAGAATTAAATGAAAGAAAATTGCTTGATTCAGTTGCATCCAAGTCTACAGTGAAACCCCAAGGGACATTGACTTGAACTTTTAAATTCTTTCATCCTTGACATTTGAGTTCAGCCTTATATATTAATAAGGGTATTCATTTCCTCAAAACTGCAGGAAAAGCCTGGAAAATAAACAACTGAGCTCAGATTTTTAGTTATAATTTTAATTATCTGAAATAGATGTCTACAGAGTTCAAAAATCAAAAGATGCAAAAAGCAGTATAGTGAAGTGAAACTTACCTATTAGGGGCCCAATTTGCCACCTGAGGCAAGCAGTTTTTCATAAACCCTTCTAAATAGCTTTTTTTTTGCATATGTAAGCAAAACGAACATTTTTTTCCTTTTCTAAATGGTGAAATTTGAATTTGTTGAAAAGACACATAGAGTACATGATATACAAATGAAGGGTAATGCTATTCACACTAAGTGCCCAGCATGAACCTAATTATTCATAACACGCATGTTCCATATGCAATTAATATAGGATCCAAAATGTAGTATACTTGCCCTTTGTCTCATATCTTCCTTTTTACCTAACAATAGATACATCTTGGAAATGTGCCTAATCAGTCCAGGAAGAAGTCTTCATTTCCCTTTGTACTGCATTTATTTGGGTTGTTTCCACTGTTTGATTATTATGAATAGAGGTATAACGAATATCTTTATTCGTATGACGGTTTACACATATGGGAAACTAGGTAATCTATAATTTTGATAGATAGTGCCAAATTATCCAGCACAGAGGCAGAACCACTTTATACTCCCCCTAGCATGGTTTCCCAAGCCATCGCCATCAAAGGCTGCTGTCTTCTCCACACTGCCGGCCCGCTCTGAGTCTACTCTCCTCTGTGAAAGCTTCCTGGAGTTTATGATTTGATTGCAGCTGTTTCGGGTTGTTAAATTTTGAAGCTGGATATTTTACAAAGAAAAGAGTCTTGGCTTTTATTTTCAGAGGCTAAAAAGTCCAAGCTGACACTCTGTACCTGGAAAGGCTTCCTGTAGTGTCTGACCATGGTGGCTGGCATCATGTGGTGGGAGCGTGGGCAGTGAGCAATGTGCGGAAGAGATCGGAGAAGGAGGAGGGAAACAGGAGAGCCCATTAACAATCGTGGTGTGATTAATCCAGTCCCAGGAAAGTGAGAACAGCTCTCCCACAGTCTCCATAGACCTGGCTCACTTCCTCTTAAAGAGGGAATCACCATCTCTCAATGGTTTCATTCCCTACATACCATCACTTTGAAGACCAAGCTTTCAGTATATAGTACTTGAGAAACAAATCATATCCAAATATACTTCATCTGTTCAGCAGTTGCTGTCCTGTCTTCTCACTGCTTCTCACTGTCTTCTCACTCCAAGACATCCTTTAAAGTTTTAGACTCTTAATACCTACATTGTCATTAATTTGGGGGGATGGGGTCTGGAGGAGTGGGTCTTTGGGACAGGGTCTCACTCATTGGCCTAGAACTTGCTATGTAGACCATCTTAGGCTGGACTTGCTTTCACAGCAATCTATCTGCCTCTGCTTCCTGGGTGCAGGGACTAAAGGCCAGCACTATGCCTGGCATCATTAGTTCTTTTAATGAACTTTTGCATTGTCTCCTTAGCCAGCCTGCAAGGTCCAAGAAGGCACGGACTATTTCTTTAACTCCCTCACAATGCCCAGTAAAATGTAATTATGACTCACTGAGATGTTTGCAGTGCAACTGTGGGAAATGAAGCAGAACTCCTGGAGCTACATGGTGCTTTGTATATCTCAGCTTTGGCATGGGCCAGGATGAAAATCAACCTTCAGACTACAAAGAGGGAAAGCAAAGGCAGAAGGAACCACTCAGAGAAAAAAATTGATATGTTGACACATGTTGCAACCTGTCACAAAGTCTTCTGGTAAACTCCTTGACTGCCCAGGGGCTAACATAAATAGCATATCATTGTTACTCCAAAGATACTGAGCTTCTTGCCATATTGGATTCAAAATAGCCCTCATACCTTGAGAGTATCTGATTTAAAGACGTTATAAAATATCAAACATCTTTTTTTGGAGGGGGAGTTGAGACAGGATCTCCCTGTAGTTCAAGCTGGCCTAGAACTGCCTATGTAGCCCAGGCTGGCCTTGCTCTCACAGAGATCTGCCTGCTTCTACTTCCTGAGTGCTGAGATTGAAGGCATACACCACCATGCTCGGCTCTCAAATGTCTTTTTAAATTGAATTTGGTCACTAAGCAATCAAAGGAGACAATACATTAAAAGAGCTACACTTTCTTGAAGCAGTATGGTGGTATTTCTTTTAAAACTACCAATTTTCTTATGGTTCCAGAGATGTCTTAGGCCCTAGTCATAAGCTTGCTTCCATCTGGATCTCTCATTTTTCAGAATCGGGAGACTGAAGCACACGCAGTTTCATCAGGCTAGTGCACCTCCATGTTTGCTGATCTGAGCATGTGCTGAGAGGAAAGCCCCTTCATTTCCCTGGTTCTGCTCAGCTCTGATTTTTCTCCTCTCTCCCCTCTCCCTCAGATCGCCAATTGATGGCAGACTTTTTACTGTTTCCTTGGTATTGTCCTAAAGCCATGAAGTGAAAGAGGATGAAATCGTTTCATTATTTTTTAAAGATATTTACTTTTATTTTATGTGTGTGTTTGCCTGAATGTATGTATGCATTCCTGGTGCCTGAAGAGGCCAGAGAGGGTTTGGATCTCCTGGAATTGAAGTTACAGATGGTTGTGAGCCACTAAGTGGGTACTGGGAACTAAATCCTGGTACTCTGCAAGAATGGTAAGTGTTCTCAACCACTAGCCATGTCTCCAACTCCTACTAAATTACTTTTTAATAAATTATTTTGATAGTTTTTGTCATGCAAGATTCAAGAACATGTATAAACATAAAAACTGTCAGGGAAAAAAGAACAAAGTTAGGACTGCAGATAGTCTAAATGATTTTTTCCACTGGAGGTTAAACTTGGAATGGTTTGATTTAAAAACAAAAACAAAAACAGAAAATAAAAACTGGACATGTTTGTGTACCAAAGAGTAAAATAAATATTTTATTAAATTAATGCAAGTACAAACAATGATAATCAAATATAGAATCACATCTCCACTTATAGTGAAACAACACAAAAGAATAAAGTGCTTTCCCAACCCAACACAGTGAGAAGGTATTAAGATTCAAAGTGAATACATGGACTGTCTCACCCAGGCAAATCTTCTCTTGAACTTTATACAAACTGGGGAATCCTTCGACAAATAAACATGTGCAGATGAGCAACAGAAAGGGTTCAGCTGGGGATTCTGTTTCTTCAGTCTTGACAAGTGACAAAACCAAGACAATGGCCTCAAGGATGAAAAAAAAACTCTGGGACCCCTGAGAGAACATTGAATCCCAGAGTCTCTGGAAAACAGCATCTCAGAGGCCCCTGTAGTGATAAGAGCCAGTGGCATTCAGGGACTCAAGCACAGCTAATGGGCCTTTCCTGACACAAATGAGGGTCAGGGACGCCAGCAGTCAAGGTACAATGCTGACATTTCCAGAAAGAATCTGTACCTGTGCAAGTACAGTACTGAGGTAAAGTCTGTGTTTAAGAGAGAACAAGTAGAAAACAAACCAAAACAATGCTCCAGACCTACTTCTGTCAGAATTAAGAAGCCTGCCTCTTAGTATTGGGTTGACTCAGTACACCCTGGGGACCAGTGGTCTCCCTTTGATCAGAAATACAAATTTAGTTATAGAGGAAGTGTTAAACACTGACTGTCTAAAAGTAAGGTAGCAGACATCTGGTTTAAACAGTATGAAAGACATTGAAGCTATGGGAAAGAAAATCTAGAAACAAACATCCTAACTTCTGGGATGTTTAAACTTGTCCCAGTAGCTATATAAGAATTAATACATTCAATAAAAAGGTAAAGTGCATGGTAAATGCATAATGTGCTACCATTTAGGAATTTTATTTTTTTATTTTTTGTTTGATTGTTTTTGAGACAGGGTCTCCCTGTAGCCCCAGCTGGCCTAGAACTCACTCTGTAGACCAAGGCGACCTCATTTTCACAGAGATCCACCTGCCTCTGCCTCCTGAGCACTAGGATTAAAGGCACTATACCCGGCTAGGAATTCAAAAAATACATACTTTAATATACATTTCTACATATAGACTGTCTTTAAGAAATGAGCAAAAAGCAGCAGCAGTTGCTTCTGAAGAGGGAAAGTCCATGGTTAGGAGGATGGAGAGGAGCTGTGGGTTTTTAAATTGTCTTTTGGGCCATTCTGAATTCCGAATCATGGATTGTATGTGTGTTCATGCATGTCCGTGTGTATGCATGTGTGCAAGGATGTGGTTCATGTGAATGTGGAAGTCAGAGGTCAACATGAATAGTTTCTCAGGTGCTGTCTACATTTTTATTGTTTTTTTTTTCTTTTTGCTTTTTTTTTTTTTTAAAGACAGCATCTCTTGCAAGCCTGGAGCTTGCCAAGCAGACTAGGCTGGATGGCCAGTGTGTACTGGGGATCTGCCTGCCTCTGCCTCCCAGTGCTGGCATCAAAGGTGTACATAGGCCACACCCAGCTTTTTTTTCAATGTGGGTCCTAAGGATCAAACTCAGGTTCTCATACTTGTGAGGCAAGCACTTTACTGATTAGTCTATCTCTCAATCTCAATATAATTTAAATAGGAAAAAAAGAAAGAAATACCAAACAATAGTAGACACTACATGGAGAACATCAGATTGTGTGGTAAAGATAACAAATCAAGGGTAAATATAATGCTAGATCAGGAACTCAAGAGTTATTTTCCACAGTCTTTTAAGTACTGACTTCTTGAAAAATTTAAAGTGTTTGGATTATTAAACATGCATAAATATATCCAATTGATACTCTGGCTTATTTCTCTATGCTTAGTGCCTGACGTAGTGCAAGGCATGGTATAACATATGATTCTTAATAAGCAGATTTTGAATTAATTTCTTAAAGCATAGCTGTAAATTGTATTCTAAAAGGCCAGCGGGTGAATGATAGAAATCTGAGGATTGTTAGCTGCTGTCGACAAGTTACTTAATCCCTCTGTGTCTTAGGCTATAAAGTGAGTATGATAATAGAGGTCACTATGGGAGTTGCTATGGAGATGAAATGAGATTGAGTGTAGTACCACACAGTTGTAACCCTGATATTTAAACGGAACTAACACTGGCTGAGAATAAGATTATTCAAGTCAATCAATGAGTTAATAAGGTAAGATCCTATCCAAACCAATAGGTTTGTTTGCTATACTTCCCATTTGTATCAATAGTTACAGAAGATACCAACTACCTCACCAAGGCTATATGATTCACTGCCACTGGACAAGTTGTTAAGCAGCAGTTGAGTTTGGTGACAAAATCTTAACAACTATTATATCTTCAAGACAAGTCAATCACAGCCATGCTCCTATGGCAAGAAGAATCCACAGACTCCAAATAAATAGCAAAACCCATACTTTAGGTCTTGCAACTCTTGGGCTCTTATCCAGGCAATGAGTGGAAGAAAGGGGACTTCTGCAGGAACTATCCATTAAATCAGGGATTCTCAACCCAGGATGAGTGATGGACAATTTGCTGATAGGTGCCTCATTCAGAAGTGTCCTTTGTCCCCTTCTTATACACTGATGAGGCTCTCAGCTCCGTTGAGGTGGCAGGGTTTCCTTCCATGCTCCCCTTTCAACACCTTCTTCCCTGTTCTCTCCTCTTCCCTTCCTGGGTTCCATTCCCAGTGCTTGGACCTTTAATGTTCAACATCGTCCACATCTCACTGGCCCTTTTTCTTCATGAATTCCCGCACCGCAGGCTGAGAATCCCTCCTTGAAGATCAGAAGTCTCAGCGCCACTTACGTCTCCTCAAATTGTGTATCTGGAGAGTGATAACAGTTTAGGGGAAAAAACATATGAAGAAATCTAAGAGAAACAAAACTGATGTTTGCTAGACCATATAGTAACTTTGCAATAAAATAAAGAGACAAATTATAGTTAGGCTTTGATTACCCTTACATGATGGATGACTAACCATTCTTGTTTCCCTGTGACTGTCCTTATTTTAAAACTGAAAGTCTATTTTTCTGAGAAACTCCCAGTCCTGAACAAACAGGGTTGGGTTCCCTAAGGTGTTCCAACAGCATAAATGGATGTTGTAAAGCCCATAAGGAACCTGCTTGGACTTGCCCAAGTTAATTAGACTGCTTTAATACTGGGCTCATTGTTTAGTTTCTGTTTCTTTTTTCAAAAAGATTTTATTTATTCTTATTTTCTGTGTACGAGTGTTTTGCTTACATACATGTAAGTGCACCATGTGCAAACTATGCCTGTGGAGGCCAGGAGAGGGCATTAGATCCCCTAGAACTGGAGCTACAGACTCCATATGGATGCTGGAAACTGAACCCTAGTCCTTTGCGAGAACAGCAAGTGATCTCGACCACTGAGCCATCTCTCCAGCCTCTAAGTTTGATTTCCAACTACATTAAAATGAATTAGAAAGCTTATAGTATAACTTTAAAATGCTTTAGTTTTCTCTACTATAAAATGCAAATAATTCTCATATTCACCTCTGATTGTTTTGGGCAGTGTGAGGAAATGAGATACCATATACCACACATGAAGTAGCAAACAGTTAACCACATAGGAGAATCATTTCATTAATTATCCATTCAGTTCATTCAGCATGGTCCCCTGTTGCACGGTGATGCTGGGCTCTAGGGCAGCAAGAGCTTAGCAGAGAGCAGCCACCCTCTCCTCCTTGCCCCCCTGTTCTCCCCACAAAGCTGCTCACCTCTCCTGACTCTCAAGGACCAACCCAGCATTTCCTCAGATGTGGGAGTTCTAGAGTTCTGAGGCAGAGAAGAGTCAGCAGTCCATACAACTAGCCTCCTTCAGAAGGAGGGGAGATCACCAATAGAAGTCCCCTTCTTGTTCTATAGCTTTTTCTTTTCCTTTTTGATCTGCTTTTGTTGTTTGCTATATGGCTCAGGCTGGTCTGCAAGTCCGTATTCTCCTGCCTCTGACTCCAGGGTGCTGGGATTACATACCTATAGAACCATGCCTGGGTGTTCCTTCAATTTTCCCATCTTTTCTGTTATTATTTTTTATTTATTTATCTTTATTTTTAAAATATTTATATTTTTTTATGTGTATGAGTGCTTTGCCTACATGTATATAAGTGCACCTATGTGTGTAATGCCCAAGGAGGTGAGAAGAGAGCATTGAAATGCCTGGAACTAGAGTATGGATGGTTGTTAGCTGCCATGTGGGTGCTGGGAATTGAACCTGAGTCCTCTGCAAGAGCAGCCAATGCTCTTAACCATTGAGCCATGTCTCCACCCCTGCCTTCTGTTATTCTTACCATTTTGTTTCTTTGAGTTTGTATCTCGGATGCCATATTTTTCCACATCTAGAGTTCTCACTAAATAAAAAGAAAACACTCTTAATTCCACATGGCACAATGCTACATCCCACCATGACTGAGTTTCAATTCAAGGGGCCTATGAAACACTGTTTAATCCTTCTAGACTTTTAGCCTGGTGAACTTCCCTATTCCAGGGTTCCAAACCCTGAGGTTAATTATTCAACAATTTAGGTCACATACTTTTGCTCTTAGATTCTCTTTAGGAGTATCTGTCTTTATTTTATGATCTGAGGTACTTTTTTGCCTACTGGTTTTCTGGCCTTCTCTCAACTAACCTTCAAAGATACAATTTGGCAGCAACCATTTCTTTGTGCAAATCCAGGTCCACTCCCATCTCCAGACCTGTCACTGAAACTTGACCCTCATATCCTTGCAACCCTCAGTTCTGTTAAGGGACTATTCTCTGGAAACAGCTGATTTCTGCCCCCTTAGTTTAATCACTTTCCCAGATACACTCACCCTCTTAAGGGGTTGTGGGGAATTTCTCACCGATGGCTGGAATTCCCTTCCATATTCTACTTCCCTATTTGCCATCAGACAAGTCTATGCAAAGACCATGGTTGACTTTCTTGGTATATATTTCAAAGTATTGGGGGGGGGGAATGTTTACTCTGAATCATCTTAAAATGGAAGGAAATTATTTGAATATATTAGTTTTCCTAGATTTTAATCATTCTCACAGATAAGTACTGAAATATATATGGAAATTATTTTTAAAATTATGCCATATTTCCTGCAGAAATTTTGCAAGAATGTTCTATGGTAAAGATACCACAGCTCTATAGAAGGAACTGTTTTTCTTAGTTAAGGTTTCCAGAACCCAGCTCAATATAATGTTGCAACTAATGCAAAACTTGAATTCAGCTGAAATCCACAGGCACTGTAGTGCTTTCTTATCCCAGTCTGTGGTTATTTGCATGGTAAAAAGAAATTGTACGGCACTGAGTTTTCTTCGCCCGCATACATCCCATCACCCCTGCACTCCTGATCTTCACAGCAATGCCCTTCAGCTTTTCTGTGATTACTACCGAATGGTGGGACTTCATCATGCAACCCTGAAAGCTAAGTCAGTTCCAACCTTTATCCAACTCATAACCCTCAAAAATGCTACTGGGTCCAACCATGCTCCAAGATATGTGAGGCTGCACAACAGCAAAATGAGCAGGACTGAAGAGAGAGGTGGCTCACGGGGGTTCACCAGAATCACAGCTAAAACTCACTTTGCATAACTGAAAGTGAGCCCTGATATGGACCACTAACAAAAGACAGCACCTTGCAGGTCAACTTCTCCCAGTAAGATGTTGTTAGTATCTTGGGTAGGACAGCTCTCTGGGATGTGGAACCACCCTATACAAAGCAGGATACACAAACCTGGTTTTGCCTACACAGTGCCCCAGGGACAAGACTTTCATATTCTTCTCCATGCCCCCAGGGGAGACCAGTGCAATGAAGGAAATACCTTTTTTTCTCAGGCAGAAGAGGACTGTCAGTGCTACAACAGGGAACAGCAGGACAGGTCCTAGTGTCACCAGGTGAGTCCTCTTATTTGGGAGAAATACTGCAGGTGGTTCTGGAAATAAGAAGAAGAGGAAGAGGAGGGGAGAGGAGGAGGAGAAAGAAGAAGGAGAAACCACTGATTAATGATTCAGTTTTAATGGGAAATGGTCAGGAGACTAATCGTCCTTGAAGTTTAGTTTAGCTTTAGGTTGATTTTTAATGACTAAAAGCTAATGGCCGCCAAGGGGCTAGAATGATGAGATGGGCCTCCTAAGAAAATGGGAGCAGCATGGAGAAGTGGAAGAACTCCAAGGCTTATACAGATGGAACTGGGTCTGAATTCTATTGCCATTGATTGGCTTTGAAACCCCCAACAAAGCCCTTTAAGCAGCCTACAAAATGAAAATGCCAAGACATTTCTTGTGAGTTTGTTTGTGAAGTGTTTAACACAGTGCTACAGAAAGTGGCTATACAATGTTATATAGCAACCTTGGTGATGTAACTTCCCTGTGCATTCTTTAATACAGCCAATGTGGCAAGGAAGGTCCACTGTAGAGCACAGAAGGCTAATTGGTATTGTTAGGCAGTTTTTGCCACCCCATGTCTGTGATCATGATCAGGAGCCAATGCTTCTTAGCCTTCTCTGCAGTTAGAACATCTCTGGGTTTTCTAGTCATTATTTTCTCTGTGTCTGCAGTTCTGTGCAAGAAGAAAATGGCACAAGGATGCTCTGGGACTGCTCACTCCTACCTCTTGTCATAAGTCTTCCTATTTGGCCCCACTACGAAGCAACTGAGATCCATGACCTTTAGCCACCCAGTTCAATCTTCAAAGGCATGACAGTAGCCAGCCTTTGTCTAGTGGCTCACAGTTTACAAAGCCTGTGTGTGTGTGTGCGTGTGTGTGTGTGTGTGTGTGTGTGAGAGAGAGAGAGAGAGAGAGAGAGACTGTGTCTATGTCTATCTGTGAGTCTGTGTGTCTGTATTTTATCTGAGTCTCAACTTTATGAGTTAGGCATACCAATTTTTTTAAAGTTCCAATTACAGATGAGAAAACAGACTCAGCAGGTAAGTAAGTTACTTCAGGTTGCCCCACAAATAAATTGTCATAAAACAGTTTTTTGTTGTCCTATTGTTTTATTTGTTGTTTTGTTTTTGAGACAGAACCTCTTGTAGTGCATTGCTGGCCTAGAACTTGCTATGTAGCTGAGGATGACTTTGAACTTCTGATCCTCCTGCCTCTGCCACCCAAGTACCTGGATTACAGATATGCCCTACCATGCCAGGTTTATGTGGTGCTAGGGATCAAATCCAGGGCTTCATGGATGCTAGGCAAGGACTCTAGCAACTGAGATATATCTCAGCCTCAAAAAACAGCTTTTAATTGCAGGAACCCACTAATGTAGCTGAGGATGACTTTGAACTTCTGATCCTCCTGCCTCTGCCACCCAAGTACCTGGATTACAGATATGCCCTACCATGCCAGGTTTATGTGGTGCTAGGGATCAAATCCAGGGCTTCATGGATGCTAGGCAAGGACTCTAGCAACTGAGATATATCTCAGCCTCAAAAAACAGCTTTTAATTGCAGGAACCCACTAATACAGTTCTTATTAAAGTCCAGTTCCAGTAAGGATGCCTTCTTTATTTCTAAACTTCTTTTGTTCATTATGGTCCCATGATCATATCAGACTGTATTTTCATACTGGTTGATGTTCCTATGTATTTTCATTTGTTTTCTCTAAAGTTTCTAGAGTATTACTGTCAATGTATATTACGGGAAGGATGGAGGCGGAATTCTCCTTAGAACATCTTTGGGTTTATATTATAATGCTGAACTGCTTGACAAACTCTTCCCATCCTGACCATTTCTGTCAGGTAATGATTTTAAAAATAGTTGAACTTGTATAGGCGAGGATCTCAAATACTTCTCATACCCTACAGCTCATTTTATCCCTACAATAACCTTGCCTGGTGACTTATAATCTGACAGGGAAAGCAAAATACACAGAAGTCTAATAACTTGCCAAGGGACACCAGCCTTATGTTCTAGGAACAGAGAAAACTTCCTTGAACTGAAATATAATGGAATGCTTTGGAGAGGCAATTTGGGAAAAAGGATCCCTCTTGTTTGGAATAAGATAGAAAAGTACATTCCACTTGCTTCCTGCCACAGAGACCCTGGAGAGAAGAGAGCAGCTCTGATGTGCTTGGGTGTGGATTCCTGAAACACAGCCTGAGCTTGAATCCTGCTTTCAGGTTCCCCAGGATGCCCCAGATATAAGAGCATTTCTAAAATGCAACTACTACCTGTTTTCTGGAGCATGGGGACTGTGTCCTAGTCATCTATGAACGTTTTCTCTAAAGTTTCTAGAGTATTACTGTCAATGTATATTACGGGAAGGATGGAGGCGGAATTCTCCTTAGAACATCTTTGGGTTTATATTATAATGCTGAACTGCTTGACAAACTCTTCCCATCCTGACCATTTCTGTCAGGTAATGATTTTAAAAATAGTTGAACTTGTATAGGCGAGGATCTCAAATACTTCTCATACCCTACAGCTCATTTTATCCCTACAATAACCTTGCCTGGTGACTTATAATCTGACAGGGAAAGCAAAATACACAGAAGTCTAATAACTTGCCAAGGGACACCAGCCTTATGTTCTAGGCACAGAGAAGACTTCCTTGAACTGAAATATAATGGAATGCTTTGGAGAGGGAATTTGGGGAAAAGGATCCCTCTTGTTTGGAATAAGATAGAAAAGTACATTCCACTTGCTTCCTGCCACAGAGACCCTGGAGAGAAGAGAGCAGCTCTGATGTGCTTGGGTGTGGATTCCTGAAACACAGCCTGAGCTTGAATCCTGCTTTCAGGTTCCCCAGGATGCCCCAGATATAAGAGCACTTCTAAAATGCAACCACTACCTGTTTTCTGGAGCATGGGGACTGTGTCCTAGTCATCTATGAATAATACACAGAAGTCTAATAACTTGCCAAGGGACACCAGCCTTATGTTCTAGGAACAGAGAAAACTTCCTTGAACTGAAATATAATGGAATGCTTTGGAGAGGCAATTTGGGAAAAAGGATCCCTCTTGTTTGGAATAAGATAGAAAAGTACATTCCACTTGCTTCCTGCCACAGAGACCCTGGAGAGAAGAGAGCAGCTCTGATGTGCTTGGGTGTGGATTCCTGAAACACAGCCTGAGCTTGAATCCTGCTTTCAGGTTCCCCAGGATGCCCCAGATATAAGAGCACTTCTAAAATGCAACCACTACCTGTTTTCTGGAGCATGGGGACTGTGTCCTAGTCATCTATGAATACTCAGTGCCTTAATTTACTGTGTATCATGAGTGACTAATACTCAGGTACTTGCTAAGTGTTTATAAGTAGCAATATGACTTGTATGCAAGAAGGAAGGCAAATAGCACATAGTTAGTAAACCCAGTGTTTATTCATTCCCTCATTCAGCCACCACTGAATGATTATGATGGGCAGCCATTATATTGGTGGGGAGGTGACAGTCTTAGCTTACCTGGGATGATCAACTCAGCTGTGTGGTTTTCCCCTGGACCTAATCTCCGAAAAGTACAGTAGAAAGCATCGTTAGCTGTTGCGTTGATCCTCAGCATGCTGGTCACATTGAAAATCTTCTCTTCCCTCTGGGAAGTAGTGACAGTAGTCTTGCCACTCAGGAATTGGTGGTCACTATTTGTCCAGATGACTTCAGCCTCAGGGTAACCCTCAGCCTGACATGTTAGTTCATGTTCAGACGTGACTGGATCCACGGAAATTCTGTGGTTGATTTTGCGGTATGGGGCTAGGTCATAAGCAAAAAGAAGTCAGGGCTTTCTCCCATCACAGTAAGACACATGACTTGGTGCTATCTGCCTAGAGAGAGTATGTGTACAGGCTAGATCTTAGAAAGATAAGTCTCCTGCTCAGCTGGGTCAGCAGTGGGGAATCCTTACTAGTCTGCCTCAGCTCTTCTGTTAAAACATGGGCCATTTGGTTTAAAGAAACAACAGTGTTGCTATAAAAACCACATTGGTACATTTATTGGGCTCAAACTAAATATACTATTCAAATGAAATAAGCCATCATCTTTAACTCATCTTTCTATTTAAATATAAAATATATCAAGTCTTTGTCTCTCAGTAAAGTGCTATTGTTTTTTACATAGGGTCCCATTTCTTCTTAAATTTATTCGTGGATATTTTCTCTTCATTGTTGTAAAGCTGTCTTTATAAATATGAATCTTTCCAACTGCCAAGCACTATTTTTTGTACTTTATTTAATAAACTGTTTTCAATGTATCATTTATTTTTATATAAATAAATGATCAGAAATTAGATACGAAAATGTACACTATGTCATTTGTAAAAATGGATATATGTCCTACTGATACTTTTTGATGTTTAAATATATTTTAAAATTTGAGAATAGTTTTGTATTTACAAAAGTTGTAAAAATAGTTCAGTTATTGAACTGCTTACCCAGTGTCCCCCTATTCACATCACGCGTCACCATGGGAGAGTCAACATAACAGGAACCGACTTTCACTCGTTACTATTAACTAAACCCAGTACTCTGGCATTCCACCAATGTTTCCCTAATGTGCTTTTTTCTGTTCTAAGAATTCATCTTGGATACATAATGATATTTATTTTTTAAACTTTCATGTTGGCTATTGAAAACTTCCTTAGCTATTCCTTTTTCTTTCTTTTTTTTTTTGGTCTTTTTGAGACAGGGTCTCTGATAGGTGTAAAAAGTTGCCAGAGAAGAACAGCTAGAGGAGGAAGCACCAAGACACAGATAAAACTCTCAGCGGGGTAGAGTTTTATTTTGCAAGGGACACGTTCCCTTTGGGGAAGGGAAAATGTCAGCCCACGGATTGATTGTGAGCTGGGGCTTATATAAGGGGGCTTCAGGGTGCAGAAGGCGGGAAGTTTTAGGAAAAAAATTGGAGGGGGGCAGGAAAAGCGGGGCTTGTAAACCTGGCTCTGTTCTGTCTACCAGACAGGATCTGGGTCAGGAAGTGTTTATTTTTTGTCCTCCTAAGATAAGGGAAAAGCTGTTGTACTAAAGCAGTTCCTCAAATCTTTGGTTAACAGGCAGAATCTGCTTATCTTGTCTTTGGAGAGATCAAAGGAAAGGCAGGCTGCCTCTTAGAAGAGTCTGCTTCCTTTGACTTCAAAGACCAAGGTGCTTATCAACTTGGTTCCCTTTTCTCAGGGGCTTGAGAAATCTGAAGTCTGTGAGATTCTGTTGGAGAGGGGGACGGCTGCTGCGGTTTGAAACCCTAATAGTCTCCCCAGCTGGCCTGGAACTCACTATTTAAACCAGGCTGGCCTTGAACTCACAGAGATCCAAAGGTGTGCACCACCACACCCGGCCATCATTAGGTATTCTACTCAAGACAAAGAGCTTGATTAAATTTTAGTTTGTGAGTCTTGTGGGATTAGGATACCCAGTTTTCTGACTATTCTAGGCTGTGTAATACACACATCAATCTAAGAGCTTCACTCCTGTTTCCTCATTATAAGTAAATCGCCATGTTTATCCTGTTGGAATAATCATTGCTTTACTCATAATACTTTAGTGAGTCACTTACACTCTAGACTAGAGCCCCCACTTCCTTTTCAGAATACCTTTCACAAAGACATAATAAAAGCTTTGTAATATAACATTTTCACAGAAATTTGACACAAAGCAGCTAGGACTAAAGACAAAGCTGAAAAAAAATGATGTAATGTTTTGTTTCTCTTGAATCAAAGAAACCACCAACAATAGAATAGATATGACTATGACTTCAAACATGCAAACAATGGCTTTTATAAGTACTTGAGCCCTCAGTCTGGCATTTTGTGGGTCACATAGCACACGACTTGATTTCTGGGAAATTCAAAGTTAGGCTTAAAATCATTGCTGATGATAAAATATTCAGAGTAAAATGTTAGCTGTCTTAGCCTTTCTATCATTTTCGTGAGAGAAGATTAAAGCAGGGCACTGCTGGCTGTCCCTGGGTCTCACTGTCTGCCGTAGGAAGAGGGGAGGCTGAGTGACTCACTCTGAAGTTATTGTGGTTTTCAAATTCTCTTGTCTACTTTTTCGTTTTGGGAAAAGGGTCTTATGTAAACCAGGTTAGCCTTGAACTCTCTACGTAGCTGTGGATGACCTTGAACCTCTAATCCTCCTTCTGATGCCCCTACCTTCTGAGTGCTGGGATTGCAAGTATGTGTATGTGTATCATACCTGGTTTTATTTGTTACTGGGGATTGAACCAGGACTTCATGCAAGACAGGCAAGCACTCTACCAACTAAGCTAAAAATCTATCTCTTGTCAACTTTTAATTAAACTAACCTTCTTATAAAATGGGCTAATTAAAAAGTTTCCCAAAAGAAACTGAGGATTGAAGATAATGCTAACAATTCAAACACAAAGCAAAAGAAAATGTCAGAAGTGATTTTACCAACCACTTTACAAGGTTAAAAGCAATAGAAAAAGACCCCCCCCCCAAAAAAAACAAGTGCTTAATTGGATGTGATAAAGTATTGGCTAAAATAAACCTCAAGATTATTAAAACCATCTACATTTGTTAATGGTGAATTTCACCCTAACGTGAAATATTGCTTGTTAAATTTATTTCTTCTTTCGGAATGTCTATTTTTGTTGTGTTGTTGAGGAAGGATCTCCCTGTAGCCTCACAGGCCTAGAGCTCACTATGTAGACCAGGATGGCCTTGATCTCAGAGATCTGCCTGCCTCTGCCTCTGAGTGCTGGGATTAAAGGTGTATACCACCACACCCAGGTGAAATGTCTATTTGTATATTTCTAGAATGAATCATACCTTAGGTTGTTGAATCATACAAAATCAGTGAGTTATCTTCTTTTGATATTCAAAAATGACAATTTTTTGTAATACAAGCTATATGTAAGTACAAAATATATTCTTTATAACCACACACAAGTTTAAAATGCTTTATGGATGGAGCAGAAAACAATTTTTTTTCAAACTCCTGGTTTAGTAGATCTAGAAAACTATGCTAGTGTTGGCTGATCAAGACCAAGAAAAACTCAGCTTAGCTTTGAAATCATTATACAACCTGATACCTACTCCAGAGGTACAGAGATAGGCAATAAAATATAGTTATTAAGAGCACAGACTTAAAAAGACAAGACTGTCAAGGTTTAGAGCCCAGCTTTACAACTTTAGCTGAGTGAATTCTGGGCAAACTTTTATTCCTTTGGACCTTAGTTTTCTCAATGCTAAAAGGGAAGGAAAATGTTACATTTGAATCTAAGATGCCATCTATTGAAAGACATATTAGGTTTTGAAAAATAGTAAATAAGAAAAAATATCATGGTTACGATCAAGTGCCTGCCCCGCAGAGTCCTGTTGAAGATTAAATGAATTATTATGAGCAAAATGCTCAGTCCTAGGCCCACACATACTAGGTGTTGCCTAAGTATTAATTACTACTCTTTCTAGTGCTGATTAGTCAGACCATGGCTACATCAGTGTGGCCTTCTCCTCTCTTTTCACTGCCCCTGCAGTGGACTCTTATGAAGTTCTGATGAAAAGTCTCAGAAATAAATTTTCATATATTCAAACTTGCTCATATTTCAAAAATTTGAGGTTAATCTATTTGAAACAATCATTCATTTATTCAACAAATACTATTCTAGTACTTTATGTTAAGGCCTAGGGATACAACAGTGAATAAAATGGACCAAAACTCCTGCCCTGTGGAGTCTGCGCTCTGGAAGGAAGAATGAGTCAATAAACAAGACAGGCATAGTTATGTGCTATGCTATGTCATACGAGGAGAGATGCTATAGAAAAGATTTCAACAAGGGCTGGGGAAACTAGTGGGGGATGACGGTCCATAACCCTTGGTTCTTAGAATTAAAGTAGTTCTTACAGCTGTTTACTCCCATTTAAAGTACTAGAGATAGTAAATGGTCATCTCTTTTTCCTGATACTAAGTCCAGTGATTAAGGCTAAACATTTTCAGGTGAAAGCCAGGTGCCTAAGAGTCGTAACTCTTGAAAGGTGCAGTGACTCCCATATTGATAATAGTAATTGAGTTAATCTAAAACTAAACCCTTTCAGATTTCAGTTTTGAAATGCTTCACCTTTATTAAAATCCCATGGTAAGTGAACTCCCTGTGGGGAAGCTGTGTTACCACACACTTACAGTAATGGGAAGAGAAGCATTATTGTGAAATCATTTGCATAGAAGATGACTCAGGAGTTCTACTTCCTTGGCATGTAAAGCTTCTATGTACCTGTCACTAGGATGCTAGGGAATGAATCTGGGCCTACCACCTGCTAGGCAAGTGTTCTAGCCCTGACCTACATCCTCAGCTTTGTTTGTATTTTAAGTTTTTTGAAAAAAGATCTTGCCAAATTGCTCAGGTTGCCCTTGAACTTCCTGTGTAGCCCAGGCAAAGCTCAACTTTATGACACCCGTGCCTCTGCCTCCCAAGTGTCTGGGATTACAGATCTGTGCCACCAACATCTGACTAGGCCATGGTTCATATTCTTGATTTAGCTTAGCTCAGCTCCCAAACCACCATATGCAAATGATGAGACAAATTGGGAGTAGGGTGCTAATTTAGTCATTTCTAAAAGAAAAAGAAATGGTCAAACAAGACAGATCTTCAAGTCTATTTCATTACCACTTTGCTACATCAAAGACTCCTTCATTCAAATGCCATCAGTACAGCAGACTTCCTGTTGCACTGAAGTTACTGTTGAGCCAAATAATCTGGAATAAACTCTTCCCCACCACAAAGTCAGCTATCTACTCCTT